TGCTCCCCCTTCCCCCCACTTCCTCCCTGCCCTCCTCCCTTCTCCCCTCCCCTTGCACACACACACACACACACACACACACACCCCGCTGCTGTAAGCCATGCTGCTGCAGACCTCGGCGTCTGGGAACACTGACATGAAGTACCAGAGCACATTGCAGGAACAGGGGCTGCCCATATCTTGGACTTTGTCATATGGCTTCGCATCAGTTCCACAGGGCATTTTGCCCTCCGATGCGCCTCGTTCACCAGCTTGTTCACCACCAGGCCACAGGGATGTGTGCCCTTGTTAGCGGCCAGCCCCATGCAGGGGCAGGGAGCCCACCCACCCAGCTCAGCTGGCCCTGCCCAGGGAGGAGCTGTTCAGGAGCCAGTGGCCCTCCGTGCTCCAGGACGCACCTGCCCCCCACCCCAGCTGTTAATGGGTGTGCATGTCTTCAGAGCATTCTTTCCAAGTGCCCCCCTTTCCCCATGCTGCCCCCTTGAGGTGGGGCAGGGCAGCGCAGGACGGGCAAGGCCACTGTGGTTACGCCCAGCCCTGGGGGTCTCCCCCTCCTCCCAGAGCACTGCACCTGTCTCAGGAGGGCAGGCTCCCCAGGGCCCCTGGTTGCTCAGAACCCTTCCAGCTCTCCTGTTTCTCACCTCCTTTCATGGCTAACTTTCTGTAATGGTTGCTAAGAGGATGTGTTTGGTATCCAGGTGTAACATTACATCTGCCTTTCCACCTGGGCGCCGTCTGGCCTCATGGGGCGGGCGAACAGTCATGGCCTGTTTTTCCTCTCTGGGAGGGGGCAAGACAGCGATAGAAAGCAGGCCTGTGCCCTTGGGACCCACCGGCCAAGATTCTGATGTGGCGTTGGGCTTGGGACCTTCCCTGCCTACCTGTCCCTTATTTTGTATAAGGGACTTTGGGGATGGCATTCCAGTAGAGACAGGATGACGTTTCCCTAAAGCAAACACTTGTTGTCTAGGTTTCTATCTGCATCTGAGTTTGACTCCCGCCTCTACCACTGACCAGCTGTGTGACCCTGGGCAAGTTAACCTCTCTGTGCCACAGTCTATAAAACAGCGTAAGAATCATGCCCACCTCTTTGTGAAGACTAAATGAGTTCAAAGAGGTTAGGAGAGTCCCTGGAACATACTAAGTGCTCAGCAAATGTTGGGTGTATTGTTTATGATTGTTATACTTTAGGCAAATATGAAATGATTTTCATAGAAAGCACCGTTTGTGCTCTAATTTAAGGAGTAAAGGTTTGATAGAGAATGAGAAAGAGAGAAGAGGGAGGGAGAAAAGGATTTATTGTAAGTGACTGGCTCGCATGGCAGTGGGGCTGGTAAATCTGAAACCTGCAGGGCAGGTGCAGGCTGGAGACCCAGGGAAGAGCTGATGTTGCAGGTCGGGTCTGACATCAGTCTGAAGTCAGTCTGGAGACAGAATTCCCTCTTCTTCAGGGGAGGTCAGTCTTTGTCTCCTAAAGCCTTCAACTGCTTCGACGAGGCCCACCCACACCAAGAGAGTGGTCTGCTTTACTCAGAGTGAGCTGACTTACATGTTAATTACATCTACACAATGCCCTCAAAATGACATCCGGCCTGGTGTTTGAGCCAACATCTGGGCACCGGGCCTGGCCACGTGGCCCTGTAAGCAGCAACCATCACAGAGGGCAGCAGACTCAGCCCTTGAAGCAGCGCTGGAGTGAGCGGCTTTGTCTGGGGATGGCACCAGCCAGAGGCGCTTCCGGGGACAGAGTGGAAGGCACGGGGTTGAGGAAAGAAGCTGAGTGTGAGTGGAGGCGCCCCAGCACGAAGGGCGCAGGAGTCAGCGAGTGCAGGGGGCAGAGGGTCTGCCTTGCCCTCAACTTAGTTTTTGGTTTAAAAATGGGATGGGCTCGCTGTAGTTCTCAGCTTGTGGACCAGCGGTGTCAGCATCGCCTGGGATCCTGCTGGAAATGCACATTCCCGCCCCCACCCCAGATCCACAGGATGGGAAATGCCGTGGGGGGGGCGCCTAGCCATGTGGGGTCAACAAGCCCTCAGGGCTCCCACTGCATCTCAAGTTTGAGCACCGCCTGAGTACACTTCTGTGCTCCAAAGGGGTTGAACCAGGCAAGGGAGGAGTGGAGATGCCTGGGGGCGGGGGTGTCCCATCCAGGTGAGTGGCTGGGGACCAGTTTGGGCGGAGGAAAAGTGGGGGTGTGAAGGACACGTGTGGGGGTCGTTGCCTTTGGGACAGTGGGAAGTTGGGTGAGAGAAGGACCTGTGTTGTAGACATTTTAGGCTCTGCCTTGAGTGGAGGCAGCTGGTGTGATGGGGAGGGTGTGTGTCCGGCTCCGTGGGGTCTGTTCCAGAGAGGGCAGCCCAGGACAAGGGGAAGGCTCACTGTGCGCTCTGCGGTGACACCTTTCTGGACCCCTCCGTTCACCGGGCTCTACTTGAACCCTGTGGAACTGCTGGTATGAAAGTGGTTTTGATGTTAAAGAAAGGAAAGGAAAAGAAAAAAAAGAAAAGAGAAAAGCAGTTTTACCCTCACTCTCCACGTGTGGCTATTCACCTTCATTTCACGCTGCAGCAATTAGTTTCCAGATCTTTCTTGTCCCCCAGACCCATGACCTCTAGGAGGGCAAATGCTGTGTCACCTTCGTGTGCTGGCCCCTGGGGCGCCGCTTGGTGCCCTTATGTGGACAGTTGCTGCAGGTGGAACCTCAGCCGCTCCACGCCTGAATTTCCCAAACCCTGTACGGAATGGGCGCTTCGCCTGAAATACTCCGTAAGGAAGGGCATGGTGCCTGTAACGCCAGCCACGTAAGGATGGCAGGTCCCGGTGAGGAAGGCCGGCGCAGGATCCCGAGTGCCCGCACACCTGTTCCCTCGGTCCTCGGAGGGGGCAGCCACAGCTGTGCGACCACGGCTCCCGTCTGCAGGGCGCTGAGGTGTAAAATGCGCCCAGTGGCTTCGTGCCAACCATGGCGAGGTCGGAGGGCCCCAGCAAGCGGGCGGCACACTTCCCTCCCCGCCCCTGCGTCCCCAGGCCAGCGGGCTGGGGGAGCGGCCGGTGCACCCTGGCCACCCGCGCACCCCCTGGGGACCGCCGTAGACCCAGTGAGCTGGGGCGGCAGGGCGGCATGCGTCGGCGTGGAGAGCGTGGGCTCGGCTGCTGCGGCCTCTGCACCTGCCCAAGGGCCGCGGGAGGTAAAGCGGGGGGAGCAGGTGCTGGCGCCGCCTTGGTTCTTGTCCCGCAGCTCCTCCTTCCTTCCCCGAGAAGGCGCAGAGACCCAGGGCTGCCAGGGACAGGGAGCGGGTTGTGCCTTTGCGTGCGGAGCACACTTGATACTGGGGGGGGCCCCCAGGGGACCGCGGGGTTGCGCGCGCGGGGCTCCCAGGTGACCTCGGCCGTGCACGCGCAGGGCTCCAGGTGACCGCGGGGGCGCGCGCGCAGGGCTCCCAGGTGACCTCGGCCGTGCACGC